CCAACTCATCATTAATCACTTGGAAGTGATGCGTATAGGGAGGAGAGTTCTTGCATGTCATGCCTTGGTCAGGGAGATTCATCATTATTTTGGGGAGTGAGGCGCATGGGGAAGAGAGTTCTTGCATGTCATGCCTTGGTTAGGTAGAGTCATCATTATTTTGGGGAGTGAGGCGCATGGGGAAGAGAGTTCTTTGCGTGTACCAAGGTTAGACACTTTAATCATTACTTGGGAAAGGTTGGTTAATGTGTAAAGCTTTTGCCTTTTAACTTTTCATTGTTGAAGTCCTAGAAGAATGTGTCTTTGTGGCTTCCCAATGCATGGGGTTGGGGTCACCTTGAGTGTATCACACTCATCATAAGGTGTGTAAGAACAAGTCTTCCCATTTCATGCTAATTATTGCGCCTAGGGAGATGGAGAAGTTTATGATCCTTAATGTGTTCACCTAGGAAGAAGAAAAGACACTACATGTTTTTCTTGCCTCCATTATGGCCGTAGCTTGTACTTGGGAAGGCCAATTGTTCATTTATTTCTTTTTCCTCATTGGTTGCATATAGTGGCATCCTTTCATCTCATGCCACATCATCACCCATCATAAGTTCATGAACTTGGGCCTTGTTGCTCACATAAAGGGGTCCGCGGTTTTTAGGCTTCTTAAAGAGGTTAGATTTCTTGCATCTGGGCCAAGGCCACACTAGGAAGTGGGTTCGGCCCACTTGGCCTTTTAGGGTTAGATTTCCATTCAAGTTAGTAAATGGGCCAAGACTTATTTTTTTTTATTTATTTATTTTTACCTATTGGTTTCGGCCCAAAGGAGTCTCTTTGGTTGGGCTCACCCTAGGTTGGGCTTAGTCTAATATTATATAACTTCAAGAGCCATGTGTTTGGGCCATTAAGGTCATTACTTGGTGTGGGTTTATCCCATCTTGTGTGGGCAAATTAATTGATGATTATGTTTTTACACATAGTTATTTTATATTTTGATTTTTATTATCTCAGTTTTATTTCTCACTTTTTATTTATTTTTATATAGGTTTTAGCAAGAAAATACAAAAAATCCAAAAAAGAGGAAAATTGATCGTGTCATGGGCCATTTTCCAGAGAAGCCACGCTATATCGCGTGGCCAACCCAGAATTTCCAGATCAGGCTATCATACATTGACTAGAGTGCCCACGCGATACAGCGCAGGATCCCGCGCGATGGAGCGCGGGAAGTACGAAAGTTGCGAATTTATGAGGGTATTTTTGGAAAAGTGGAAGAAATGAGATAAATGTTATGCTCCTTTGGTGTTTGGCAGACACACATGGGTGGAGGCTAGGTTTTGGAGAGTATTTCAGAGAGAATTCATTCTTCTTCATCTTTTTTTGGATCTAATTTCTGTTTTATGTTGGATTCTTGTATAGCTACCATGTCTATGGCTAGCTAAACTCTTTTGTTGTGGTTAGGGTCACAAGCCCTTGTGAACCCCTGATACGATGGATTGAGTTTTTATACTTTTATATATATCTTTTATATTTCGTTTCTACTCTGATCGAATTGATATCATTTTTATTAGAATTGATCAATCTAGTAGTTAATGGTAATTTGGGGATTAGGGCCAACAAGAGGAATCTGCGGCTTTTAATCTAGAAAGGGGGTAGCGGCTTTTAATCTAGAAAGGGGGTAGAACGATGGTATGAATGCGTTCTAGGGATAGACGCATTTTGTATTGCAGACGTTTAATTTATCGATCTCTATGCTTAATTTTATATAGAGCACCTCAAGGAATTAGGGCTCCATATGGGATTAAAGGGTTAATTCATCAAGGAATTGAGGGTTAACTATTGATATTTTATCTGATAAATTGTCTGATTATATTTATATATATTGGTATTTGAAATCAATCCGAAGTAAAAGGCGGGAATCATCGGTGAGTGTTCTCTGACTACAGCGTTTTATCTCATACTCTCTAAACCTTTTTCCTGTGTTAATTCCAATTAATAGAAAATCAAAAATACTTTTTAAATTGCAATTCAATTTCTACACAAATCCTGACATTCGTGTCAAAACGTCTTGAATCTTTTCATTTTAAAAGGATAGATTTTTTTTCTGATATTAGATACACTCCTTGTGGTTTCGACCTTTTCGTATTACTATATTACTTGCGCGATCGGTACACTTGCCGAATAACGTCAGTATCCACGCATGTGAGCTCATGAATCATACCCTTATCTAAAACGAATTGTGATAGCCGCTGGTTGACGTACTCCGTACCATTGTCAGATCTTAATCACTTAATACTTTTACCAAACTGTGTCTCGATCATTTGATAAAATCGAATAAATAATTCTGGTACTTTTGACTTGTCTTTCATCAAGAATATCCATGTCACCCGAGTGCAATCATCAATAAAAGAAACAAACCACCTAGCACCTGGAATATTATGTACTTTAGAAGGGCCCTAAACATCAGAATGGAAAAGAGTAAAAGGCTCAATACTCTTTATTGAACTTGAAGGAAAGGGCATACGGTGGTGTTTCGCAAGCTCACAAACATCACAATGGAAGCAGTCAATTGACTGATCCTTAAACAAAGAAGGAAACATTGACTTCAATAAGCCAAATGATGGGTGCCCCAGGCGTCTGTGATGAAGCCAAATCTGTGTGAATGAAGTAGACAGGTGATGACTCATCAATAATTGATTGGAATCGTCAGAATCCTAATGCAAATTTGAGTGGGCTTCGAGGATGTGCACTCTTGATTGGAATCGTCAGAATCCTAATGTAAATTTGTGGGATTTTACTAAAGCATTTATAAGTAAATATCTACCTGAGATTTGTTTGGTAGACAAAGAGGAAGAATCGGAGCATCCAAAACTAGTAGAGAAAGAAAAACAGAATTCCACTCAAGGAGATAAGGAAGGAATAACACCTCCAAAATCAGATACAACAATTGATGGTGATGGAAATGATGTTGTAAAAAGGAGGGAAAAAATTAATAATAAAAATGTAGAACAACAAGAGAAAAAGGAGAAAAGGCAAAAATCGAAAATTAAAAAAAAAAAAAAACAGAGAAGAAGAAAAAAGAAGCATAGAAGAAATCAAAAAAGAAAAAAAAGGACAAGGAAAAATCAAAGGAAAAAGAAAAAGAAGATGAAGAACAACCAAAGAAAGCAAAAGAAAAAGAAAACAAAACTGAAGAACCAGAGAAGGAAGATGCAGAAAAGGAAGACGCAGCAGAAGCAAAAACAGTTGAAGATGAAGAAAAGGCTGAAGCAATAGAAGGAAAAAACAGAAGAAATAGAAGATGAAGAAGTCAGATCTGGAATAGGGAGACGACAACAGATCTAGAACTGACAGGGAGACTACGCGCGAACAGTGGCAACGACCACAAACGGTGGCAGGGGAGGCGGCACAAGGAGCTCAGGCCATCGGCTTTGCTGTTCACTGGAGAAGATCACTGACAAAGACGTGTTGCAGACCAGGCATGCTTGACCAGGGACAACCCAAAGAAACAGAAGAAGAAGTAGGAGGATAGGAAGAAGACGAAGAGGAAGAAGCCGAAAAAATACAAGGAAAAGAAAGAAAGGCATACCTGCAGTGTGAAAAAGATGTCAAACAGAAGAAGAGATAAGAAGGGCAGAGATGGTATTTCAGAAATTGGGTCAATTTTTTGACCTAATGGGCCAAGCCCAAACGAATGAATTAGAAGGAAAAAAAGGGGCTTTGTCCATCCTATAAAAATAACTTCAGCAAGCTTGTTGGACCAAGTCCCAAAATTTAAAGTGATTAAATCTGAATGTGTTGAAAATAGTCATGAGCCTAGGAAAAAACAAGCCACATGGACCAGAATCAGTGGATCAACTAAACATAATACACATGTGTGTAACTTGGTCTATATGCTTTAAGCAATGGGATCCAGGTGGACTCTAGTCTCTTCTTTCACCTTGAGGACATGGTGAGTTTTGAAGGGGGAGTATTTATGGGCCTAAAAGTGAGTGGGTTAGTTAGTTAGTTAGTTATTCTAGAATATTCTGTGAGTAGGATAAAAGGAAGGGAGGTGTTGACAGTGGGAAGCATGTATTGAGTGGGATTTGGGGAAAGATCCCTTGGGATCTCTTTGGAGCCTAGATGTGTTGGTTTTGGAGAGTGAGGTCTTTTAGGTTTATTTTCTGCATTTTATCTTGGATTAGTATTTGTAATCTCTTGATTTAGTAAATACAGTGCTATAATTTTTTGGGTTCCATTATTTTCTCAATTATATTTTTCTTTCACCATCCCAACAAATGTGTACAAAAACAAGCTGAAAGAAAAGACACATCCTCCTAAAAAGACAAAGTCACCTAATCTAGTTTCAAATCAAAAGAGAACAAACAAGGATAGCCTAGAAATAAAACACCAAAAATGAGACAAGGGACAATCATAACAGTTGAGCTATAAGCAACCTAATAATCCACATTAATGCCAGACAACATGCTGTCAAAAGCAATTTCAAAGACTTGTAACAAAGACACTGTCCTCAAAAGTCATAAGTTCTTCAGGAACCTTTTCTAAGACATTTCAAAGTCAGGTGTGCAGTATGTCAAACGGGCTATGCAAGAATCATCTCCCACTTGTCGATATTGTTACAATTGATTTCAATTCATTAACTTATCATGGTTTAGTACCCATAGTATTTCTGGTATTGTGGCCACTCCAAAATCCACTATACCACTATCGTGTTTATTTTTGTAATTTCAACAACTAGTTATATTGAGACAGTTAAAAGGAAGACGGAAAAAATCATTATCAAGCTGTAACTTCACTAGTAAAAAGCAAGTTCTTAACTCAAACATTTTCAATCAAGAATATTAAAATAAAAACCCGAAAATGAGAACTCCAATAACAAACTTATAGCTACCCAATGAAAGACAAAAATTTATCACTTCAAATCAAGAAACAGATATTAATAACAATCACAAAATTAATATCACAATTCACAATTAGACATAGTAATTGCTATAAAAGTGAAAGACAAAAACCTTGGGCTATTAGCACACGACGCTTCTCTTTTGTTGAGTCATGATAAGCCTGTCACATTGGATGCAAGTTATAAACACTAGGATAAAGAAACAAAAACAAGAGGTTCAATAAAAATCAATCCCTAATCCATGGCTAGAAATAAAGCATCGTAGCTCATTCTATAGTACTAATTTTTCCAAGAATAATCACCCCTTAATCATTTTTTACCTCAGTTAATAAATCTCTAAATTTAAAATGCAAATTACCCCATTCCTTTCCTTCCAAAGCCATCAATCCAAACACACCCTAAAATAATGGAAAACTAAGGAGGCAAAAAGGCTGCCCAATCTGCATATCAAAGATAGCAGCTCCATTGATGCATCTATCAACATGACAACAAGGAGAAGCCAAAAAAGTAACTATCTTGAATCAACTTTGGGGCCAAGGAAGCACCTTTAAACATACAAGCATTCTGCTCCAACCATAATATGCACCAAAAGACTGCAAAGGCTACTCACAACATTCAAATTTCCTCTCCTTAATTTTCCACACACAACATTCAAGTATGGTCATGACATTATGACATGTTGGCACCGTTTTGATGAGGACTTTGACCGAAACCTTCCTCCACCTGAAGTCTCAGCTAATAATCAGTATTTTGTGTAGACACAGCAATCACAGAATCAGCCAAGGTCTTATCAGTATGTCAAACCTGCTACAGCAGCACCACAAGCTATGATTGCAACTCAACCAGCGTTGCTGCCTACACCCACAGCTGCTCCAGCAATTGAATGGTTTCCAAATTCAGTTGCCTCTCATCATGTCACAGCTAGTCCAGCAAATCTGATGCAAAGCAATTAAGTGGTTCAGACAATTTCTGATTGGTAATGGACAAGGTCTGGCGATTAAAGCTGTTGGTTCATCTAATTTTTCATCACCTTATGACTCAAGTAAACGTTTGCACCTTAAAACCTTTTGTTAGTTCCATTTATTATGAAGAATCTAATGAGTGTTAGTCAATTTGCACGTGATAATTCAGTTTATTTTGTTAGTCAATTTGCACGTGATAATTCAGTTTATTTTGAATTTCACCCACATGTGTGCTTTGTTAAATCCCAAGAATCCCACCAATTTGCACCGCAACGCAACTCCGCTATAGCACGCTAAAGCGGGAATATTCACAAGTATGGTTCGAACTGTGCAAGGAGTGCCTCCAACTCTACTTGTTGTTCCTGGTCCAATGTGTCAATCCCTTGTTGCGCTTCATGTGGTAGCTTTTCTCCCTTTTGCTGTTCCTCTAAAGACTCTGTGTGATGTAGCACTTGCTGTAAGAGAAATTCTTGAGACTGATCTTGATGTTGATAACCCTTCAAGACCACCACCTGTTTGTCCATCCTGAAACTCATCACTTTGTCCCTCCAATTTAAGTACACTCCACCTAAACTTTCAAGCCATTCCCATGCCAAGAATGAGATCCACTCCTCCTATATACATTGCATAGGCTCCTATCTCCTGCCTATAATTTCCAAGTTGCGGATTTATAACGTGATAGCGACCAACCGTTGGTTGGTTACTCCCATCTCCAAGGTTGACACTGGATTTACTGGTTTCCAGCAATGGTAAATTCAAGTTTGTCACCAATTCAGTGGTGACATAGTTGTGGCTTGCTCCTGTGTCAATGAGAACAAGGATGGGATGCTCTTCCAACTTCCCTTCGATCTTCATTGTTTTGGATTGCAGTACCTTAGTAGAAGTTAGACCATGATAGTCAAGACAATTGCAAACCAACTCCTCTCCCACTAATTTTTCATCCTCTTCCTTAGCAAGCAATGAGTCAGCCTAGCCTAATAAGTCTCCATCCTCCCATTATCAATAGTCTTAATTGTTTATCCAGGCATTGATGAGTCGGGGGAAACTTCTGGCCACACTTAAAAAATAACCCATTTGCTCTCCTTTCCATCAACTCCTGGTAAGTTAAATTACGGACCCCCTTACTGGTATTGCCCACTTGCTGGCTTTCAGTTTTGGAAGAGCAACTAGTGACCTGTTGCGATATCGTTGGCTTGTTAGTGAAGCCTTTACCCGTACCTAACTCCATAGTCTTCGATCGTCCTGCATTGGCTAGAGTTATTGTAGTCACCTTGCGAAAGAGCTTTGATCTCTTCCTCCAACATGTGACTTGGAGCTGTTAATGACTCCCAACTTCCTTTCTGCAACCCTTGAGATTGCAATCATCCTATATCCGTTCTTTTTTTTTTTTTTGGGGGGGGGGGGGAGGGTCACATTGGAGTACCTTCAGCCTAATATCTTCTCTCAACCCTACAAGAAATAGCCCAATGTATTGCTCTTCAGGCATTGGAGGTACCTGGGCAGCCAACATCTCAAAATCATCAATGTAATCATCCACTGAACTAGTTTGGGTTAGGACCTTAAGCTATGAGAACGGATTCCCAAAATGATTCTCCCCATACCTGTCAAACAAGGCATGTTTGAACTTCTCCCAGTCAAAAGAAGGATTAGATTCCCAAAAACAGTAGAATACACAGCAAGAGTACACAATGAGCAAGATGCTCCCAACCTGAAGATATTTCTTCAAGTCCTCTGCATAAGCAGCCTAGAGAAAAATATTAAAAAGACATGCATAAATTCCTAACTTACATTCTACTCCTATAAAAGCTTCCTACACTACCATCTCTTTCCACAACTGCCCACTACCCCAGCCAATAACTACCCCCCACTAACATTTTCCTCAACCATTCCCTCAACCTCTGTTTGACTTGACTTGTTCCTGTGGCTGTAAAACTACTTGAAAGGTTGTAGCTTATGTGATAATTGTTGAGGGGCTGGATACCCATCAGAATTAGTCTCTAAAAAGCAAAGTAACCATTTAATTTCAAAACCTGACAACCAATCACAGAAGCATAGGAAATACCTCACAAAACTTAAATAGAAAGTACATTTAAGGAAGTGTCACATTTGATTACCATGTTCTTATCAAAGTACTTCTAACCTCATTTGGGTCAAAATAAGTTCAAACTAGGACATGCTCAAGACGCAAATATCTTTCAGGTTGCTCTTGTTTCATGACACCCATCACCTGTGTTTTCCTTAAAATTGTGCGTGCAGTATACAGTTCTCGAAATTCAATCATTTCTAATAAAATATGCAACCATGTCAATGAAATTTAAATCCATTTGAAATATCACTAAATTTACTGAAACAAATAATATTATTAGGGTGTTAAGAAGATCAAGCGATATAGAGTGCAGCAGTAAACAAATAGCAACAGCTGCTGCTGAAAGACAATTCATAAATATCCCAAAGCCCCCCCTCCGGCCATGTCCAATAAAAATCTTCAGCATTTGCTCCACTCAATACACTTTATCCCCTCATGAGGACAATGGCATTAATGACTGAAACTAGCTGCTTTTCTGGAAATGGGTTAACAAGAATTTGTATTTAGCCAACCAGGGGAAGTCACACAATTCTACCCGAGTAAATGAGGTAAAAGTTATTAAACCACTCACTTACATCACAAAAAAATAAATAAATTACAAATCTCCACAAAAAATTCCGTTCCTTTTTCAAAAAGCCAATCAAAATAAAGATATTCTAAAGTTTTGAGGGACACGACCAAACCTCTTCACTAACATTGAAAAACAAATGATTATGAGGCTAAAAGCTAGTGAACTAGCTACTGGAACACATAAAACATGTCAAGAAATGATGGTAAAAAACCCAATATCTGACGGGCTACTACTTGCTAATGCTGACCAACAACATAGTTAGGTTAGGCAGATTGATTAAGCAAAACATTCAGCACCGGTGATTGTGAATCACTTCTTTTTCCAATTCCTCGGTGAATTGCATCACTACTTTAACCCTCCATAACCTCTATTTCAACGCTTCAGCTTCCTTTTTCCTTATTCCGCACCCTTTTCCTTCTCTACAATTTCTCCAACCATATTTCTCAACTAAAACATTTCATATAAATGACAGGATTTAAAAGATGTTCACAAGTTAAAAAGTCCATAAACAGCATTGAACTTTGTGATAGAGGGAATATACGAATACCTGCTCATATAAATCTTCCAATTTATCCGGGGAAGCTTGAGTTGAGAAAATTGAGGCAATATTGCATCCCATCTTCCACTAATAATATCAGCAACAAAGGTTTCAACGCTATCCATAGTATTCAGGGAAACCTGGCACTCATTCTGTAGCGTCTGAAAAGTCTGATGCAAGGAATTTTCTTTGCAAAACTGAAGCACAATTTTGATGACACTGCAAAGGGAAAAACAAAAAAAATTAACAATAAAAGATAATACACAAAAAGGAATCTATCGTTCGACAGAAGCATAAATTGAGTTACAACTACACATGCCAAACACCTAACTAAATTGAAACATGAGATTTTACGTTATGAAAGATTGAGGAAAATTAATAAACGAAGAAAGTATATTTTGATGACACTGCAAACTTTTGTTTCCAACAAGCAGCAAACAATTGTACTCTGTTATGCAACAAATCGAAAATGAAACATTAAACTTACTCCTAAATACAAATATGGTGGATCACAGGTTTAGAAAACGAAACTTACTCTCGAGCTTCGATCTCAAGCGTAGACATTGCTCCTATATCTCACTCAGAGAGACTATGGGTATGTAGGGTTTTGGTGTTCCACGTTTATTCAACGACAAGGTCACGGAAAAGTGGACTAGGTATTGGCTATTGGGTAATGGTATACGGGCCAGCCTCGAGTGGTTTGGGCTATGCTGGCCGTTTAACTAATGAATTAGGGAACTCATTATTAGTTCAGCCCTTAAAAAAATTGTCTCGTTTGTTAATTTTCTTTTCTTTTCTTCTGAATTATTATTTCCAGCACAATGGATTTCCCAAATTTGTATTCTTATTTTGAGATATAATCACGATGCATTTGAATATTTTTTAAAAAATATTTTTCATTTTTATACGCTGTTCCTTTTTTTTGGTGGTTATTTCTTTTTACTAAAAACTTAGTTTTAAAATTTTAGACATATTTATTAATTTAAAAAAATACCAACAAATGAACTCTCAATCTGCATTATTCTCTAGGAAAAATACAATAAACCCTCTTAGACTTTAGATCTTTTACAAACTTTAAACTCTTTTTAATTAGTTTTTTAAATTATTTTTACACGTGAACTAATTTCTTAAATAATTATTTCTATCGAGGTGCATCCAGGCCCTCAAGGTGCATCGGGGCTAGCTGTGGTGCACCCGGGCTCTTGGAGTGCATCGCGGCTAGTCGTGGTGCACCCGGGGCCTGTCGACAGGGGCTAGTCGTGGTGCATCGGGGCTAGCCGTGGTTTATCACGAGGCCAGTCGAGGTGCACCAGGGCTAGCAGTGATGCACCTGGGGCCTGTTGAGGTGCATCGGAGTGAGTCGTGGTGCACCAAAGGCTACCGGGGTGCACCAGGGCTGGCCGTGGTGCACCAAGGGCCAGCTCGGGTGCACCAGGATGAGTCGTGGTGCACCGGGGGCTTGCCGTGGTGAACCGGAGGCTAACCGTGGTGCACCAAGGGCTAGCCGGGGTGCACCAGGGTGAGCAGTGGTGCACCAAAGGCTAGCGGTGGTGCACTAGGGTGAGCCAAGCTGCACCAAAAGCTAGCCGGGTAGCATCAGGGTGAGCCATGGTGCACCAAGGTGAGTCGTGGTGCTCCAAAGGCTAGCCGGGGTGCACCAGGGTGAGCCGTAGTGCAACGGGGCTAACCATGGTGCGTCCGGGTGAGCCGTGGGGCAACGAGGCTAGCCGTGGTGCGCCAAGTGCACCCAGGGCTAGTCGTGGTGTGCCAGGGTGAGCCGGGTTTCACCCGGGCTAGCCGTGATGCATCGGGGCCAGTGTCGAGGTGCACCAGGGACTAGCTATTGTGCCCATCGGGGTTAGCCGTAGTGCACCATGGGGCTTGTCGAGCTACACTAGGGCTAGCGGTGGTTCACCCGGGACCTGTCGAGTTGCACCAGAGTTCGCCGTGATGCACTAGAGGCTAGCTGTGGTGCCCAAGGAGTGAGTCGTGATGCAACGAGGGTTAGTTGAGGTACACCAGGGTGAGCCGTGGTGCACCACGGGCTAGCCATAGTGAAACACGAGCCAACCTAGGTGCACCACGGGCTAGCCGGGGTGTATCGAAGTGAGCCATGGTGCACAAAGAGCTATCCGGGGAGCATCAGGGGGAGTCGTGGTGCACCAGGGAGAGTCGCGGTGCACCAAGGCCTAGCGATGGTGCACCAGGGGGAGTCGTGGTTCACAATGGCTCGACGTGGTACTGTAGGGGTGAGCCGTGGTGCATTTGGCTAGCTGTGGTGCCCTATGGGTGAGACGTGGTGCACCCGACTAGCCGTGGTGAACTTAGGGCCTGTCGTGGTGCACCGGCGCTAGCCGGGGTGCACCAGGGCTCGCCGGGGTGCACCAAAAGCTAGCGGTGAGCACCAGGGTGAGCCGTGGTGCAGGAGGGGCTAGCCGTAGGGCACCATGGTGAGTCGTGGTGCTCCAAAGGCTAGCCCCTGGTGCACCACGGCTCATCCTGTTGGACCAGGCCTAGCCCCTGGTGCACCACGACTCATTCTGGTCCACCATGGCTCACCTGGTGCACCACGTCTAGCCTCTGGTGCACCACGGCTAACACTAGTCCACCTGGGCTAGCCCTTGGTGCACCACGGCTCATCCGGGTGCACCACGGCTAGCCCTTGGTGCACCACGGCTCATCCTTATCCACCACGGCTCACCCTGGTGCACCACGTCTCATCCTGGTGCAACATCGTGAGCCGTGGTGGACCACGATCGGTCGTGGTGTAGCAAGATGAGTCGTGGTGCACCAACGGCTAGCCCTGGTGGAGTAGGGTTAGTCGTGGTGCACCTGGGTGAACCGTGGTGCACCAGGGGCTAGCACAGGTGGATCAGGGTGAGCCGTGGTGCACCAGGGGCTAGACGTGGTGCACGTGGCTGAGTCATGGTGCACCAGGGGCTAGCCATGGTGAACCAGGGTGAGTCGTGGTGCACAAGGGGCTAGCCCTCGTGGATCAGGGTTAGCCGTGGTGCACCAGGGGCTAGCCGTGGTGCACAAGGGGCTAGCCCTCGTGGAGCAGGGTTAGCCGTGGTGGACCAGGGTGAGCCGTCGTGGACCAGGATGACCCGTGGTGCACCAGGGGCTAGCCGTGGGGCACCAGGGTGAGCCGTGGTGCTACAGGGGCTAGCCCAGGTGCAACAGAGGCTACCCCAGGGTGAGCCGTGGTGCAGCAGGGGCTAGCCCAGGTGGACCAGGGAGAGCCGTGGTGCACAGGGGCTAGCCCCGGTGGACCAGGGTGAGTCGTGGTGCCCCAGGGGCTAGCCCTCATGGACCAGATGTAGCTGTGGTGCACCAGGGTGAGCCGTGGTGCGCTAGGGACTAGCCGTGGCGTACCAGGGGTAGCCGTGGTGCACCAGGATGAGCTGTGGTGCGCCAGGGGATAGCCCAGGTTGAACAGGGTGAGTCGTGGTGCCCTAGGGTGAACCGTGGTGCAGTAGAGGTGTGCACTAGGGGCTAGCCCAGGTGGACCAGGGTGAGCCGTGGTGCATCAGGGTGAGCCGTGGTGCACCAGGGGCTAGCCAGTGCACCAGGGTTAGCCGTGGTGCCCCAGGGTGAGCCGTGGTGCGTCAGTGACTAGCCCTGGAGGACCAGGGTTAGCCGTGGTGCACCAAGATGAGCTGTGGTGGACCAGGGTGAGTCGTGGGGCACCAGGGTGAGCGTGGGGCACCAGGGTGAGCCGTGGTGCGCCAAGGGCTAACCCTGGTGGAACAGGGTGAGCCGTGGTACCCCAGGGTGAGCCGTGGAGCAGTAGGGGCTAGCTGTGGTGCACCAGGGTGACCCGTGATGCATCAGGGGCTAGCCGAGGTGGATAAGGGTGAGCCGTGGGGCACCAGGGTGAGCCGTGGTGCTCCAGAAGCTAGCCCAGATGGACCAGGGTGAGCTGTGGTGGACCAGGATGAGCCGTGGGACACCAGGGATGAGCCGGGGGGCACCAGAAACTAGCCCAGGTGGACCAGGGTGAGCTGTGGTGCACCTAGGTGAGCCGTGGTACAGCACGGGCTACCCTTGGCGGACCAGGGTGAGCCGTAGGGCACCAGGGATAGCCGTGGTGCGCCAGGGGCTAGCCAGGGTGGACCAGGTGTAGCCGTGGTGCGCCAGGGGCTAGCCAGGGAGGACCAGGTGTAGCCGTGGTGCGCCAGGGGCTAGCCAGGGCGCCCCAGGGTGAGCCGTGGGGCGCCAGGGGCTAGCCGTGGTGGACCAGGGTGAGCTGTGGTGGACCAGGGTGAGCCGTGGTGGACCAGGATGAGTCGTGGTGCACCAGGGGCTAGCCGTGGGGCACCAGGGTGAGCCATGGTGTGCTAGGGGCTAGCCTAGGTGGAACAAGGGGAGCCGTGGTGCCCCAGGGTGAGTCGTGGTGCAGCAGTGGCTAGCCGTGGTGCACCAAGGGTTAGCCTAGGTGGACTAGGATGAGCCGTGGTGCACGAGGGTGAGCCGTGGTGCGACACGGGCTAGCCGAGGTGGACCAGGGTTAGCCGTGGTGCACCAGGGTGAACCGTGGTGCTCCAAAAGCTAGCCGAGGTGGACCAGGGGAAGCTGTGGTTCACCAGGGTGAGTCGTGGTGCACCAGGGGCTAGCCCAGTGGATTAGGGTTAGCCGTGGTGCGTTAGGGACTAGCCCTGGTGGACCAGGGTTAGCCGTAGTGCACCAGGATGAGCTGTGGTGGACCAGGGTGAACCGTGGTGCACGAGGGTGATCGTGGGGCACCAGGGTGAGCCGTGTGTCGCCAAGGGCTAACCCTGGTGGAACAGGGTGAGCCGTGGTACCCCAGGGTGAGCCGTGGTGCAGTAGGGGCTAGCCGTGGTGCACCAGGGGCTAGCCCAGGTGGACCAGGGTGAGCCGTGGTGCATCAGGGGCTAGCCGAGGGGGACCAGGGTGAGCCTTGGTGCGCCAAGGGCTAGTCCAGGTGGACCAGGGTTAGCCGTTGTACCCTCGTGTGAGCCGTGGTGCGCCATAGACTAGCCCTGGTGGACGAGGGTTAGCCGTGGTGCACCAGGATGAGCCATGGTGCACCTTGGGCTAGCCGTGGTGGACCAGGGTGAGTGTGGTGCGCCAGAGGCTAGCCATGGTGGACCAGGTGTAGCCGTGGTGCGCCAGGGGCTAGCCAGGGTGGACCAGGTGTAGCCGTGGTGCGCCAGGGGCTAGCCAGGGTGGACCAGGTGTAGCCGTGGTGCGCCAGGGGCTAGCCAGGGTGAGCCGTGGGGCGCCAGGGGCTAGCCGTGGTGGACCAGGGTGAGCTGTGGTGGACCAGGATGAGTCGTGGTGCACCAGGGGCTAGCCGTGGGGCACCAGGGTGAGCCATGGTGTGCTAGGGGCTAGCCCAGGTGGAACAGGGGGAGCCGTGGTGCCCCAGGGTGAGTCGTGGTGCAGCAGTGGCTAGCCGTGGTGCACCAAAGGTTAGCCTAGGTGGACTAGGATGAGCCGTGGGGCACGAGGGTGAGCCGTGGTGCACCAGAGTGAGCGTGGTGCGACAGGGGCTAGCCGAGGTGGACCAGGGTTAGGCGAGGTGCACCAGGGTGAACCGTGGTGCTCCAAAAGCTAGCCGAGGTGGACCAGGGGAAGCCGTGGTTCACCAGGGCGAG